ATGTGGAGGAGCAGCAGCTCTACTCTGAGTCCCTCCTGGATGACTGAGCTTCTCACCCTATCTCTGAGGGAGAGCCCAGACACCCTGTGGAGGAAACTCATTTCGACCACTTGTATCCGTGATCTTGTTCTTTTGGTCACTACCTAAAGCTCGTGACCATAGATGAGGGTAGGAATGTAGACAACTGGTAAAYWGAGAGCTTTGCCTTCTGGCTCAGCTTCCGCTTCACCACGACAGACCRGTACARCGCCCRCATCACTGCAGATGAAGCACCAATCCGCCTGTCGATCTCCTGCTCCATTCTTCCCTCTTTCGTGAACAAGACCCTGAGATACTTAAACTCCTCCACTTGGGGCAGGACCTCCTCCCCGAACCGGAGAAGGCAYCCTACCCTTTTCTGGCTCAAGACCATGGTCTCAGATTTGGAGGCAGTGATCCTCATCCCAGCAGCTTYACACTCGGCTGTGAACCGCTCCAGTGAGAGCTGGAGATCAGGATATGATAAAGCCAATAGTCCGCAAAAAGCAGAGATGTGATCCTAAGGTCACCAAAAAGGATCCCCTCAGCACCTTGGCTGCTTCTAGAAATCCTGTCCATAAAAGTTATAAACAGAATCGGTGACAAAGGGCAACCTTGGTGGAGTCCAACTCTCACCGGAAACGAGTCTGACTTACTACTGGCAATGTGGACCAAGCTCTGGCACCGGTCCTACAGGGACCTAACAGCTCATATCAATGAGCCTGGTACCCCATACTCCCGGAGTACCCCCCACAGGAGTCCCCGAGACACGATCAAACGCCTTCTCCAAGTCCACAAAACACATGTTGACTGGTTGAACACCCATGCACCCTCCAGGACCCTGCTGAGGGTGTAGAGCTGGTCCACTGTTCCACGACCAGGACCAAAACCACACTGCTCTTCCTGAGTCCGAGATTCAAAAGCAATTTCAATTTAAAAAAAAAATTCCGTCAAAATTGCCTCCATACTTGAKAAAGCCACAGAGTAATCAAACACAGATTAAAAGATTTACATTTCAATAAATAACTAATAATAAAAAAGTCAGACTACCACTATTTGGTATATAATTTGAGATTCAACTAAAGATTTATGATTGTTCTTTTCAATTCCTTAGGTGCAGTGGAGCTGGAAAATCTCCCACTAAGGAAAGATGCCCTTCGAGATTTTGACCTGCCTTTTGAAGTCAAAGCAGGTAAAAAATACTGAGTCTAATCATTAAGTTAGAATAGAAAATGGCTTCTAAAACTAGGTTGAACAAAGAGTTAACATTTTAGTGCAGCCTGAAACAGATGCTGGGCTGTAAGGGGTGTCAAACTCAGGTCCTCAAGGGCCACTGCTTGTTTCTCAGTTCCAACACACCTGATTGAGTTACCTCTTCAAATTACCTGTTGATCATCTATTCATGCAAATCAGGTGTGTTTGAGCATCACAAACACATCAAATGTGTTTTTGTATGTTTTCAGGATTCATTGGCAAGATCAGTCTCCAGATCCCTTTCTACCGACCTCACAGTGACCCATGGGTCATTTCCATGTCGCAGCTCAGCCTCATCATTGGCCCCACCCAGCAGCAGGAGTATGATAGAGAGAAGGAAAGACAGGAAGAGAAGAAACGCAAAAAAGTCTTTCTCAAGGCTCTAGAAGACAAGTTTAAGGTACACTGTTTCCCTGAAATTAGCGTGACAATAGCTGCGTTTCCATTGCAAAATGGTAAATGGTACTGAACTTATAGAGCGCTTTTCAAGTCCCTCTGGACCCCAAAGCGCTTTACACTAACAGACATTCACCCATTCACACTCACATTCACACACTGATTTTTTGAGTTTTGAGCTAAATGTTTAGCTTGAAACTTAAATATTTACCTAGCTACCTAAATATTTAGGT